GAGAAGGCAAGCAGCAAGAAGCCTGGCATGCTCCTCTGCCTTGGTCTTTTATACCAGATGCCATCAGAAGGTAACGCCCACATTTAGGGTGTGTCTTCTGGCTTTAGATGATCCAATCAAGAAGATCTCTTTCATTTCAGTTAATCCCAGATCCAATCAAGCTGACACCCAGGATTAGCCATCACACATATGATCCAGTTATACCACTCCTTGGCATATATCCAAGAGGTCTCATCATACTAGAGATACCTGTACATTCATGTTTGTTTCTGCTCTTTTCACAACAGCATAACAGCTAAGAAATGGAAACAACCTAAATGTGCCTAAACTGATGAATGGCTAATGAAAATGTGGTACATTTACACAATGGAGTTCTACTCAGCAGTTAGAAAAGATGAAATTGCCGGGCATGGTGGCACATGCCTTTAATCCCAGCACTTGGGAGGCAGAGGCAGGCGGATCTCTGTGAGTTCAAGGCCAGCCTGGTCTACATAGTGAGTTCCAGGACAGCCGGGGCTACAGGGAAACCCTGTCTCAAAAAGAGCAAAAAAAAAAAAAAGAAGAAGAAAAGATGAAATTATGAAATTTGCAGGTAAATGGATGGAACTAGAGACTTTTATACTAACTGAAGTAACACAAACTCAGAAAAGCAAACAACTTTTTTTTCTCTCATTTGTGGATTGTAATACCAATCCCTTATATATGAGTATATATTCTGATGTAACATCAGGAGCTAGGAAAATGGAAAGGAAACACTGAGGTAAAGGGAAAGCGTGTCTTAAAGAGGTGGATAGTAAGGAACAGATGTTATGGGGGTGGGGAGGAGGTAGGAAAGTGGGAGTGTTTGGCTAGGAGGGGATGAGGGAGGGACATGGAGAGGACCATGGGGGTTGGGGAGGAGGGAACTCAGGGGCGGGGGGATGGAGGGAGGCGGGTGTTATGGGGGTAAGGTGGAGACAATGGGGGTGCTTGGACTGGGGAGGGAGGAGGGAGGTTAGACTGAGGAGAGAGAGGAGAGATGAATGGAGCTTGGGTGGCTTGGGAAGCCAGAGGTAAATGTGTTGGCTTGGGAATCCCTTGAGAAATACATGTACAGAGTCTGAACATTAGTGCATGTATATACCTGGAGGCTGTATGGCAAGGAACACAGTGTCAAACAGGAGAGACCTCCCTTTGAGTGGTTCGTCAGGGTATTCCCAGAGACACCCAAAATAACACAGGCTATTGCTGGAGCCCTTGGTTATCTCCCAAAACTCAAAGGCAAGACCCTACTGCTGAAGACAGGATATACTTCAGACACAGAACTTGGAGCAATGGAGTAGGAACTAACCTGGAGGCCTTCTCCCTCAAGACTAGCTCTCATAGTTCTAGAGGATGCTATGCAAGCAGCTAATGGAGAAAAATCAATCAATTGTCCAATCTAGCCCTAAAGCCAAATAACCATAACAACTGGCACAGCAAATGACCTCTATTGGTGCAGTAGTGGCACTGTCATCTGGGGAGCAATCAACAGGTATCTAACTGGACTTAAAGCCCTCTCAATGGGACTGAACTCATGGGTGGCACTGTCAACACAGCCAAATACACATGACTGGAGAGGACATAGATCCTAGAGAAAACCCTATCTCTGTCATATCTCTAGACAAATGAAATTTCTTACTATGTGCTAAATATAGATCCTTATATTTATAATTAATATACTATATACCACTCATCAAAAAAGCTTCTTTTTGCAACATTTGGTGGCTACTGAAGAATTGTACATCTGATCAGACACAGAAAACATATGTCTGAAACATGCCCACCCCTAGGTGACATATCTAAGATGGAGCCTCTACACTTAAGGCTCATGGAACATAGCAGAACAGGGGGTGGAGAGAATACCAGTACATCCCTCATCTCTCACCAGCAAAGCTTCCTTATACAACAGAGTGCTATGCACACAGAAGGCCTCAACTGGCTAAGTTTTAGAGAATAAGACACTGTAGAGTATGTGTCCCTGAGTAGGACACCTATATTAAACCTCATCCATGCAAGGCTCAGGGACAATTACAGGAGAGGGGGTGGAAAGATTGTAAAAGCCAGTAATGGTTCATGAACGTCAGGAAACAGAGGCTTTCAGGCCACTATAAGTTTGCACATGTGAACTTGTGGTAATGGTGGCACTGAGCACAAGACCTATGACAACTCAATCTGACAAGGGCCACGAGTGGATCCATGGAAAAGTCAGCAGGCTGGCTCTAGCCTGGGAACTGTTGGAGACTGATTACTGCTGGGTGAGAGGGAGTAGAAGTTCCTTAAGATCTCTAGATAACACTAGACTCCAGTGGGTGAACTTGAACCAAAGGACATCTAGATACAAATGCTTGATGGGATGGGATCTAACATGTATGGAAGAATAGATGATGTCCTGGGGGGGAGGGGCATGGATGGATAAGGGGGTCTAAATTTCATTAAGAACTGTTGTATGAAATGTAGAAAAGCTCAATAAATATATATTTTTTTAAAAAGTCAATGAGAGGCTCTTCTTGCTTTCCCTTATCTACATGCCAGTAGACACCTTCCCCATATCACAAATAGAAAATCATACATTCAAATGTATTTTGTCTTACTCATTCTCTTTGATAGGCTCCTACTTCCTGGTGACTGAACACTAAAAGGGAGCCCATTGGTTTAACACTGCTGGAAATAAGAGAAAGGAAATAACTGGCTTCCCCCATTAACAGATTAACATTCCAATTACTGAGTTAAAGGTATAGTTCAGTGGTAGAGTTTTTGCCTTGCATGCCTGAGGTCTTGGGTTCTATACCTAAGACCATAAAAGTAATAAAATATCCCAGTGATTAAATGATCCTTGAAAAAGGCAGACTTCAGCTTTCTTCACAGTGTCTTTCTCATATCGTACAAAACTTTCAGGCTACAAAACAGTAGAAGTTTTTTGTTTTTTGGTTGGTTCTTTTTTTTGGTCTTTTTGAGACAGGGTCCCCTTGTAACACCAGCTGTCCTGGAACTCACTATGTAGACCAGGCTGGCCTCGAATTCACAAAGATCCACCTGCCTCTGCCTCCCAAGTGCTGGGATTAAAGGCGTGCACCACCACGCTCAGTTCAACAATAGAAGTTTTAAAATGGAGTATTATATAAATTCAGGACTCCTTGTTACACATGATAATGGTATTGCAACTGTGTTTTCTAGAGTGTATATCTTGTGTAGAAATAGGTTTTGAGACCTAGTAATCTTAACAGAAACCTAGTAATCTTATCAGAAACCCTGTTTACAGGGGATAGGCAGGAACGAAAGTTCTTGTCCAACCCTAGTGGCTCCTGATTTTACCTTATCAGATTATAAGTCCATCGAAGGCATCTCTCTCTTGTCAAAGGTGAGAAAGAAGAAAACAAAAATTTTCTTAGCAACATTTTCAGATGTAAACTGAGAGTCATATGAAGGTATATACGACTAATGCTAAAATAATTGCTTTTTCTTTCTTGGAGAAGCCCGTACTCACACTTCAGTGCACCCTACTTTCCCCTTCTCTGCCTTAGGAAACCCACACCTCCACTTGTATCTTACTTTCTTCTGAGTGCCTTTCTTCCTCTTATCTTTCATGCTAAAGCTTATATTAAAATATCTTTAATAAAATCACCAATTCTGTTTTATTATAACATCTAGTCCTAAAATTCTTTCTAGCATCAAGAGTCATTGAATCTGGTTTGCCCTGCATCAGGGTCCCTAATATTATTGCTCAGAGGAAATCCTCCCAGTGTGGAGCTGTGTCTCTGTCCCATGACCAACTGCTGATACACTGACACAATAGTTCTCAGATTACAAAAGATGGTACAAGAGAGATCACATGGCATATGTGACTAGAGAGTGATGAGGGAGGCTTTGAAATTTACCCTTCAGGCTACAGAGTGCTCTGGAAGGATTTTAAGTAGGAGACAGACATGCTCACATTTTACTCTAAGAGAGACCAGTACTCCAGCAATGCAGAAAAGTGCTGATAGGAGCCAGAAAGCCTTGGTAACATCAGGGGAAGAGGTAATCAAAATCACCAGTCAGGACAAAGCACAGTAAGGTTCCTTTTCTACATATAACTGCAGAAACATGAAATTTAGCAAATATAAAAAAGTTATAAAAATGAGATGATACTTGTTATTATTTTAACATATTTCAAAATAAATTGGATAAAATACATCCTGAGGGGATAGGGAAATAACTAAGACACTTGCCCAACATGCACAAGGCGCTAGTCTAAGTTAGAGCTACAATACCTCAAAATTCAAAATTATGATGGAGGGAAAATAAAAATTTTTTACATGGTGGCTTTAAACTCAGACAAATATTTCATATTTTCTCTCATATGTGTAACCTACATTTTTTTAATTGTGAAAGTAGAACTATTTGAGAAGAAGGGGATTGGTGAGTAGGGTGGAAGGGAACAAGAGAGTGTATAATGTGAGATGTATATGATCAAAGCACATTGTATATGTGTATGAAGATGTCATAATAGAATAATTACTTTCTATAATTGATATGTGCTAAGAAAAAAAGTAGCTTGTTGTAATGTACCACCTCAGATGGGGTTTCTTCCTTCAACTAGAAGCCAGCCTGAAAGGGGTATATTATAGCATGCCTTGTAATAAATATAACAAAGATGCCCACTGGGCATGAAAATTACATAAAAGGACCTTCCATTGGATTGATGCTGCTCTTTATGGCTTGCTTTGGCACCACAGGTCTTTCAAAACAACCTGCTGGTGCCATGTGCCTTGTAGGACCAAGCACAATCAATCTGAAGTAGTATTATAGGTTTGAATCCTTACCATGACTTTGGGCATGGTACTTATCACTTGCTCTGTGTCTCTGTTTCTCATGAATAACATAGTACTATGAGGAGAAAATAGCAATAATGAAGATAAGGCATTTAGCAGAGTGCCTGGCACAAAGTCAGGGCTATTATTGTTTTTAAGAACCTTCTTCTAAAATCAGTTTCAGACTTTGCAGAGTGATCGAGGATTTCCTACCACTACAGCATATTTCAGAAGCAAAGTCAAAGCTATAGTCTTCAGGGTATTCCTCATAGAGGGCTTTTTTTTCCTTTCTCCTTTTCTTGGAACTTTCTTCTTAATGACTAGATGCCCTCTTCTCCTTTTTGTAATAAATGCAAATAAAAAACTAATGTCAGGCTGGGCGTGGTGGCACACGCCTTTAATCTTAGCACTCAGGAGGCAGAGGCAGGCAGATCTCTGTGAGTTCAAGGCCAGCCTGGTCTCCATAGTCAATCCAGGACAGCTGGGGCTACAGGGAGCCCCTGTCTCAAAAAAACCAAAAAAAAAAAAAAAAAAAAAAAAAAAAAAAAAACTAACCTCTACCAAAATACTTCTGAAGAGAAAGTGTACTGTATTTATTTGAAATTTGCGTGAAAGCCACATCTAATGTTCAAGTATTTATAAGGTCACTTCAACTTCTTAATTATGAAAAACCCTTTGGATCTTAAAACACCCTTTGTAGTAGTGGTTTTCTTTGGCTCTTCATCGTCTACTGATGCATGTTCATTAGAGATGAATTTTTTAAATTATTGTAAAATTAGAAAAATGACAAAATATCAATCATAGAGCACTAAAATAGGAACTAGTTTTTTGCTTTAGTAACAGCACTGATTGGCCATTAAAAGCAAATACTAACCACTTTCCATAAGAATTCAAGGGTGGGTCTACTACCTTCATAATAATAAAATAGCTTACATTTGCAAAACACTTCAAAGTTTGCAAAGTACTAATCAAACAAAGCAGCATGAATGATATAGATTTTCAAAAGAAATCATAAGACAAAGCAGAGAAACAGGAACTATAAGGAAAGATGAAACAAACTGCAGATAAGAAGGCAGGGTAAGGGGTGTGGGCAACTCCGTGGTTAAGAGTGCTTGTTACTCTTGCGCAGGACTGGAGTCCAGGTCCAAGCACCCACACTGGGTGGCTCACAACTACCTGTAACTCAAGCTTCTGGGGATATGACACCCTCTTCTGACCTCCATGGGCACATACAAGCATACACATAAATTAACAAAATAAGTCTTTTTTTTTTTAAAAAAAAAAAAGGCTAGGAGACAGCTTCATTATTTTTTTTTAAGTATGTAAGGACACAGTGCAGAGGTAGAGAAAGAACTGTCTACCTCACCAAAGCCAGAAGAACCTAATATAGTACAGTCTAAAGAGACTTTGTTCTGTTGCACAGCATTCAGAAAACAAGTTAAAAGGTTTTTTCATATTAAATAATATTTTGCTCTGAAAATTGCATCTGAAATAATTTGAGTATTACCTTGAAAGCTGTTTTTCAGGTTCCTTCCAACTTGAATTCTCTAATTTTAGGTCTTTTTAGCCTTTTCTAAAAGTATGCCTATAACAAACAAATTTTAGATTATAAGCCTTTATCACCATGTCACAAATCACAAGTTTATATAACAAGCACATTTATCTCAATTCAACCTAATGTAGACACAGAAACAGAGAAGAAAATTATTGATAACACTGAAAAGAAGTAATAAGCAGAAAGAAAACACACTAAATTTTCGTAGTATGGATATGGGAGATTAAACAAAAGCATACAGCTATGTTGATTTTTCAAAAATTTCTTTGTAGCCAGGCCTGGTGGCACAAGCCTGTTGTCTCAGTTATTTAGAAGCCTGCAGCAGGAAGAATCACAAATTTATGACTGACCTAGGCTAAAGAGAGTTCAAAACCAATCTAGGCAACTTAGCAAGTCCTTGTCTTAAAATAAATGTTAAAAAAAGGGGAGACATGGGGAGATGGGTCAGTGGGTAAAAGCACTTGCCACACAAGAATGAAGACTTGAGTTCAAATTCCCAGAACCCACATAAATAACCAGAAGTGATCATATGCCTGAAACCTCAGCACTGTGGGGGACACAAACAGGAGGATATCTAGGGCTTGCTGGCTGTGTAAGCAGGACAATGTGACTTTTAATTAGTGCAGTCAGTCTTGAGAAAATGTCATCAAGACTTCTAGGTATGTTATTTTAAAGCAAAGGATTTGTTTACTACAATGAAGACTAGTTAGGCATAATAGGGATTTTGATCCTTGAGCAGAGTATTATTTTCTTATATAATTTGGGGTGGGGCCACTGCATTCCTTCATCTGCCTCAGCACACATGCCTACACCACTTTTTCCATGTAGACATTCTTGACCAGAGGTACCATTGCACATGGTCAGGCATGCTTTGAGCAGAGTTTAGATAAAGTAATAGTCTCCGAAGTCAGTTCAGGTAAATCAGTGGTCTCCAAAAAGTGGATAAAGTTCTTGCCACACAAGCCTGACAACCTGCGTTCAGATCCCCAGAACTCATGTAAAAGGTAGACCTAGATGCACAAGTGCCTGTAATCCTAGTAAGCCCATGGTAGAAAATGGGAGGCAGAGACAGGAGAATCATCAGAAACTTGTGAGCCTGCTAGATCATGTGTTCTCTCTCTCTCTCTCTCTCTCTCTCTCTCTCTCATTCTCTCTGTCTCTGTCTCTCACCCACACACATATACACACACATTAATCACACTAAATCAATAAATATATAAATAAATAAAATTTTATAAAGGATGGGAATTGAGCTTAGTAGTAAAGCATTTATCTAGCATGAATGCGGTCCTAAGTTCAATCACCAGTATCACAAAAAATAAACAATAATAAAATAAAAATCTCTTTGTAATATATTATGTATTCAATCTGCAACTAGGTTAAATAATTCAAAATAATATTAGCATATTATTTTTTCACAACAAATTCTAGTAATAAGAAATTAGCACTGCATGCATTAACATTAAAAGAGAACATTTAGCATGATAAAATTGACTAGCAATAACTTTTTACTCTAAGGTATGTTCTATTTTTAAAACTTAAGAGATAAAGAGGCTGGGGAGAAGACTGAGGTTAAAGTGTCTGCTGCAAAAGCAAGAAGCCTAGAGTTCAGATTCCCATGCCAACATAAATGCCAGGTGAGCGTGGGCTACCACCTGCAATTCCAGCCTCAGAAAGCAGAGACACGGGATTCTTGGAGGCAGCTGACTAGCTAGAATAGCCTTGATCTAAAAGCTCTGGACTTAATTGAGAGACCCTGCCTCAAAGATTAAGGTGGAAGAGCTATGAAGAAAGATTTCTAACATCAGTCTCAGGCCTCCACATGCATACACACACACACACACACACACACACACACACACACACACACACACGGGCCTATATATATGCAAGCATACAAACCACACATACACATGAAAAAACAGAAAAAAATGCCAAAATGACATAAATTACAAAGAAAAATGTAGGATGTTCTTAAAATTTACTTAATAAAAACTTCAGAAGGAAGTAATCAAAGTAACCTTATTTAAGCTGGGTGTGGTAGTGCACGCCTTTAATCCCAGCACTTGGGAGTCAGAGGCAGGCAGATCTCTGTGAGTTCGAGGCCAGCCTGGTCTGCATAGCGAGTTCCAGGCCAGCTGGGGCTACAAGGAGACCCTGTCTCAAAAAGACCAAAACAAACAGTAACCTTATTTGCAGATGACATGACCCTAAAGACTGCATTAGAAAGCTTAAGAATTGATAAACACTTTCAGCAAAGTGTCAGTATATAAAATTAACATACAAAAATCAGTGTCCTTTTTATATACCAATATCAAACACACTGAGGAAGAAATCAGGGAAATAATTCCATTCACAATTGCCTCAAAAATAACTTGCATAACAAAAGAAATGAAAAGACCTTTATGATGAAATCTTTAGAACATTCGAGAAAGAATTTGAAGACTTTGAAAATGGAAAGATCTAGCACAGTTTTGGAGAAAACTATGTAAGCTGCTAAGGGAGAACATCAATGGCTGGTCCACTCCCGACTTTAAGGCCTAATAACCACGAAAATGTCTAGCACAGCAAACTATATTGGGGCAGTAGTGGCACTTTTATCTTGGGGGTAATCAACAGCTACCTAATTGGACTTAAAGTCTACTCAATAAGAGGAAACTCATGTGTGGCTCTGCAAACATTCCCAAATACACCTAAGGCTTACAGAACCTAGTAGAACAAAGACTAGAGAGAATACTAATGCATCCCTCAACTCTCATCAATGAAGTTCCCTCATGCAACAGAGAGCTATGAACACAAAAAGGCACAAATGGCCAAAGCATAGAGAATAAGAGTCTACAGAGTGTAAGTCCTTGGACAGGACTCCTATATTAAACTCCACTCATCCAGGGCTCAGGGACCACTGTGGAAGAGGGGGTGAAAGACTATACGAGTCAGGGAGGAGGCACATAACCATATGGAAATAAGAGAACTACAGGCTCCTGGGACTTTGTGCATATAAACCTACAACAATGTTGTCAGCATGGACAAGACCAATGAAACTCAAGTAGACAAAAACCCAGCATAGCACTGTGGAAATGGGCAGCAGGCCCCAATCTCAGTCGAAGAACCATTGGCAGCTGAATAATGCTGGGTGAGGAAGAGCTGATCTTCTTAAAGGGAGGGACTCTAAATCGGCTGACTAGACCTCAGTGGATAAACTTGTACTGAAAGATGTTTGGGGACACTAACTTGACTTGATAGGCCTTAAGACAAATGACAGAACACATGAAATCCAGTGGAGGAGCTATGGGAGTGTGCCAATGGGGAAGGGGGTATAAAGATGATTACGCTGTTCTGTATGAAACACACAAAAATTCAATAAAACATTTACAAACAAAATGGAAAGACCTGTCCTCATAGATTGGAGAATTAATATTGTGAAAATGACTACCTTACCAAAACCAGTCTACAGATTCAAAACAATCCCCATCAAAATTCCAATGCCACTATTCACAGAAATAGAAAAAAAAAGCTTAAAATTCATTCCAAAAGTACGAAAGATATTGGCTAGCCAAAGCAATTCTTCACAAAAGAATAATGATAGAGATATTACTATACCTGATTACATTACATTACAGAGCTAAAAAGTAATTTAAAATAGCATGGTACAAAAATAGACCTGTAGACCAATGAAACAAAATAGAAGATCCAGATATAAACCCACACAACTACATGCACACACTGGAGAAAAGAGGGCCTCTTCAACAAATGGTGCTGGAAAAATCAGATATCCAGATATAAAAGAATAAAACCAAATCTTTATATCTCACCCTGCAGGAAAAAATCAAGTTCAAATGGATCAAATACCTTAACATGAGAGCTGCAAGTTTAAAATTGTTAAAGGAAAGAGTACGGAAAACAAGGGAGAGGCATAAGCAAGACTCCAGTTGCTCTGGAAGTAAGGCAAACAACTGACAAATGGGATCTCATGAAATTAAAAGCTTCTGTGCAGCAAAAGAAACAATTCAGTGATTAAACAGCCAACACAATGTGAGAAAATCTTTGTCAGCTATCTATCTGTCAGGGGATTAATATCTAGAATATACAATGAACTCAAAAAAACAAACAAGAAAACAACCCAATCAATAAATAGGCTAATAAAATGAACAGACAAGTTTGTAAAGCCTGAAATACAAATGGCTATAAACATACGAAAAAAATGTTCAATCTCGCTAGCCATCAGAGAAAGGAAAATCAAAACAACATTGAGATTTCACCTCAGTCCAATTAGAATGGCAGTCATTAGAAAGCAAACAACAACAAATGGTGGTGGTGATCTGCATGAAAGAGAACCCTTATAAACTGCTGGTAGGGATGCAAGCTAGGCCAGTCTTTAAATAAATCAGTATGGAGGTTCCTCAGAAAACTAGAAAATTTATCATCAGCAAAAACCACTCCTAGGTATTTACCCAAAGGACTCCAAGCCCACATATATAGAGATACTTGCCTATCCATGTTTATTGCAGCACTATTTACAATAGCTAAATTACAGAACCAACTGGGGTGCTCAACAATAAAGAAATGGATAGGGGCTGGAGAGATGGCTCAGTGGCTAAGAACGTGGCTGCTCCTGCAGAGGACCCGGATTCAGGTCCCAGCACCCATATGGTGGCTAACAACCATCCATAACTCCAGTTCCAGGGGAATCCAACACCCTCTTCTGAACTCCACAGGCAGTACACAACACAGCACAGATGCACTTACATGCATGCAGGCAATACACTCATACACATAAAATAATAAATAAAATACTTTAAAAACCAAAGAAGTGGATAAGGAAAATGTAGCATATTTTATAGCTACAAAGAATATGCAATTTTGAGAAATGAATTCAACTAGAGATAATCATATTACATGAAGCCAGTCTCAGAAAGACAAATACATGTTTTTTCTCATACCTGGTTACTAGATTTTATACAGTCACATAAAATCATGGATGTATATATTAATAAAAGTTGAAGTGAGACTGTCTAGAGGAAAAAAGGATAGAAAGGGTAGATGGTGAGAAAAGGGATGGTAGAGAGGAGTGGCAGGAGATATGCTCAACATGAAATATATGCTTATATGAAAAAAATGTTGTGTTTGGGGGAGCAGTATGGGCATGCCATGGCATACGTGTGGAGGTCAGAGGATATCTTTCAGGAGTCAGTTTTCTCTTTCCACCATGTGGGTCCCACAGGTCAAATTTAGATCTTCAGACCTGGTGTCCAGTGCCTTTACCTGCTGAACGATCTTGCTGGACTCTGTATGAAAATATGTTTTAAAGTCAAAGACTTTCTTTTCTCCCTAGAGTTAAGAGTTACACAATTTGGGAGTCTTTTAGACAGACTCCCTGAAGGGATACCCCAATTGCTTCACCCTGCATCCCTGTTCAGCATGGAAGAACCCAGAGCAGTCTGCGACTCAATTCCCTATCAGAAATTTGGGTAACCTCTTCAGGGGACACTGTGATAAGAATATGAGGTAGGACTTCATTAGGCAGTTAGGGTAAAAAGACCCCAAAGAAAAGTAGCCAGTTTCTTGGCTAAAAATCAAAATGTCCTTGGGCCTCTTAACAACATACTCTGTTCCAAAGGCCAAAAATGTCAAAAAAGTATTTGGGAACTCTTATCTAATCCATAAAAGATTTTAGGGTTACCTTTTCAGAGGGGGGAATGTTAGAGTAGCAAAAGGCCCCATTAAAAAAAAAGAAAGAGGGGCTGAAGAGATGGCTCAACGGTTAAGAACACTGACTGTTCTTGCAAAAGACCCGGGTTTGAATCCCAGCACCGACATGGCAGCTAACAACTGTCTGTAACTCCAGTTCCAGGGGATCCAACAGCCTCTTCTGACCTCCACCAGCATTGCACGACACGGGTGCACTTGCTACATGCAGGCAATACACACATACACATAAAATAAAAATAATAAATAAAATACTTTTAAAAAAAGAAAGAATGCATGAAGTTCAGGAAAAAAGTGATGGGAAGATACGGAATTTGAGGAGAGAGAGTGGATTTGATCAAAACACCTTATTATGCATGTATGAAACTCTCAATAATTTTTTTAAAGTTAAAAAATAATAAATATTTTTTTAAAAATTTGAGTAATAGATCCCACATTTTACAAATGTTCAATATACTTTAAGAAATATTTCATTATTTTTGTATTATTTCATGAATATGAGTGTATTACCTGCATGTATGTAAGTGTACCCATGTCATGCAATGCCCACAGTGGTCAGAAGAAGGCGTCAGACCCCCTAGAACTGGAGTTATGGACAGCTGTTAGCCACCATGTGGGTGCTGAGACTCGAACTTGAGACATCTGCAAGAGCAGCAACTGTTCTTAACCACTGAGCCATCTCTCCAGCCCCTAAAAATATACTTTTTAACACCATACTTTCATTCATGCTTGTGTTAGCCAAACAGTGCTGCTGTAACAAAATACCACAGATATAACAGCTTAAGACCCAGAAATTTATTTCTTACCATTCTGTAGATTCTAAGTACAAGATCAAGGTACCATTATAGGCCAGTTCTCAATAGGGACAGTTTTCCTGGCTTGCAGATAGCTTCCTTTACACACAGTATTTGCACATTCTTTCCTTTGTGCACAGGAAGAAAGAAATCTCTAGCATCTCTTCTCTTCTGAAGATAGCATTTCTATTTCACTAGGGCCCACCATTATGACCTCATTTAGCCTTAATTTCTTCCTTCAAGTTCCTATCCCCAGAAATACACATTGGGAGTTAGCTATTCAACATATAAATTTATTGGGATGGAACATAATTTATTCCATCACTAAGAAAGTCCCCATACTTTAAGATATCCAAATTCTCTAGCTCTCTTTCTTGCTTAATATCCTCAAAAATATACACGTGTGGTGATAAACACAGAAACTCACAATTGGCCAATGTGCAGAGAAAAATAGGCTGCAGAGTGTTTATCGCTGCCTAGTATACCTATTTCAAACCTCTGCCTCCCAAGGCTCAGAATCATTGCAGACAAAGAGATGGAAAGATTGTTAGGAGCACAAGTGGTGGATGACAAGGAAACAGACTCTTTCAGACAGGTGGTCAGTTACTTGTATGAACTCATAGCAATGATGATAGCATACACAAGTCCTATGCAAGCTCAAACAAGACAAAATCCCAGCATAGACCTGGGGAAGTGGATAAGAAATTCGGAACCAACCTAGGGAACTTTTGGCAATTGATGGCTGCTGAGAGGGGGAAAGACAGGGCTGGGACTCTTGGTGGGCCAGTGAATGTACCTACCTGAAGGGCACTTAGAGACCCAAATCAGACTCTATAGGCCATATATATATATATAAAATACAGTACATTAAATTGGGTGGAGAATAGTATCAGGGGTGTGGATAAGAGGGGGAAATCTAAATATGATCAAAATATATTCTGTGAAAATCACAAAAATTCAATTAATAAATGAAAAACATTATAGATTTATAATATACACTGTAATATAATTATATAAAAATGAATTATGTAAAACAAAAATTTATATAAACTCTAACAGGTCCAGATAAGTCCTGGGTTTATTTAACATTTAAAAATTTAAATAATGGGCTGGAGAGATGACTCAGCAGTTAAGAGCACTGGCTGTTCTTGCAGAGAACCCGGTTTTGATTCCTAGCACCAGCATGGTGGCTAACAACTGTCCATCACTCCAGTTCCAGGGGATCCAGGACCCTTTTCTGACCTCCTCAGGTACTGCACGACACGGGTGCACTTATATACATGCAGGTAACACACTCATACACATAAAATAAAAAATATTTTTAAAAGTTTCAGCCCCCAATCTTATCTAAAGGAATATTGACAACTGATTGCTGCTAGATGAGGAACAGCTGACCCTCCTAAAACAGAGAACTCTAGATAGGCTGACTAGATTCACCAGAAGGGCAAGTAGTGGGGAATGGCTGGGGTGCCGACAACACAGCAGACAGTAGCAGGGATATCAGAGTATAAGGGCTCT